AAGAATACCCGTGAAGAACACTGTGCAACTCGTGTTCTTCACGGACTCGCCGATTATGCACAGTGACTCGGCTAGTCACTGTGCAGAATCGTCCGGTTCTCTCTAGAACCGGATGATTTCCAATTTTTTAGCCGATCCGATCCCCTTTTCGCGATTTTCGAGTCGAATCGGGCGAGTCCGATTCGACTCGGCATTTTTTAAAACACTGCTTGGGAGGATTAGTAAATGCAATTTTTGGACTCAGATCGGGTCTACTCCTCCAGTCTAGGTCCATTGCCAACTTTAATTAAAAATAGATTTTCAAGGCATTGTAAAATTTATAGACCCCTGAATTACATATTCCTACAAAATTTAGATGTGCGTCTTACTTGTATAGTATAAGTTTAGCACAACAAACCTCACCCTTTAAATAAATTAAATTATTGCTAATTATGAGTACAATAAAACATTTCAGAAAAGCATAAATAGTACACTAACGATATGACATTGGAAGGGAGGGGACGTATATTACACATTGTGTGTGAACTGCATAGTCTAGTGATCAACCATCCATCTTCAACCTCATCATCGTAGGAGAGAGATTAGCTGGCTGTTTGTCCCATATTCTCTCAACATAGGAATAGGAGATCATCTCTACCGTCAGTTGATGCGGAGGAACGATGGATGGCCTACCTATGGGCCATTCCATGCACCATACACACTACGTGTAATATGACAAGCATGAGCCCTTTTGTAAAGGAAAATTATCTCATGTGGGCTGGACCACATGACTACATATGCGGTTCAAAAAATATAAAGCATCATTATAGAGATGGATGTAAATAGGTGTTTCATTTAAAAACAATGAAAACTAATAGTCTAAATGTCTTTTTATTATATTTATTATTTTACTTTTTAAAATTTAATTTTTTTTATATTTATTATCTCCATGTTAGAGATTACGTATCCTTAAAAATTAAATACAAAACCCATATGAAAAAATAGATTTATTATTGCTACATATGCGGGCTTGGACGCATAGAAACCGCGTCCTTTGTAAATAGCGATAAAAGCGAGGGCGGTGAATGTTTCATTAGGGGTATATTTGTAAATTTTCACTGCCGCCTTAATGAGTTTAGCCTTCTATTTTATGGTTTAGGGTTTTTATTTCTTCGCTCTATAAATTCGCGGGTTCTGTGTTTAGGGTTTCCTCTAGTGCGGAGGCCCTCTCCTGTTGACTGGTACGTTGTCACTCCTTTCATTGTGCTTTTTCTGTGTGAAATTACATATTTACGTGAAATTCGATCTTATTTATTTACATATAGATCTAATAGTTCTTTCTCTATTGTGTTTTCTGTATCTCTCTCTTGCTATGTATTTCTCTTGTTATGTATTTCTGAATATCTATATGAATGTTGGTTTACTCTTTTTATTTTTTACTTTTCTATTTTTCTAGTTGAATCAGGAGTTGGGTTTTTCTCCATTTAATTTCGCAATGTTAACCTTTAAATTTGATGCATTATTTAGTGAGAAAAAATGCTTGCATTTGGGCTAATCGTATGCTCATGAGAGTATTATTGCTGATTTATTGTCATTTTCTCACGAGAAAGTGACATTTCTGGGAAGATGTGATTGTTGTCATAGTCGCTGACCTGAGCTGATTGTATGCTTTATAGTTTAATATGTTTTGAGCTTGAAGGAAGATTAATGGCTAATGAATTTGTGTGGTTTGATAGTTGGGATTGATATGTGGCCGTGGAGATGTAGATGAAATCTTTTAGTGCGTTTTGCTATTCATTAACTGATTTTGGGTAAAGAGGACATTCAAAAATCAAAATTGCGGAGATTCCATTAAAGGGGTGATTTGGGGGATAATGAGTGTGGTTGCATCTCAATTATTTGCATGAATAATCATGATTTCAATTTTTATTCGATAAACAATAGTTTTCTGATCAAAGTGAGCAATACAAAGAGACTGATATAAGCATTACTACAGTAAGGTGGCAAAAGTTCTCACAAAATCTTTTTTGTTGCACTTGTATTTGCTAGATGCTTGCAATTTTTCCACAAGCCAACACTTACCATTCTCCTATGCATGTTGAATGAGTTGTGCCAAGCATTCCAGTTCAACATATAAAATCAGAACTGGCATGGCCATGATGTTTTTCTTAATCACTTAGCATTCATCTTTGACATAGAAAAATGGGTGTATTTTTCATGTCCAGTGTTGGGATTGATTTCCCTGATCACTTGAAGCCTCCATTTACACTTCATCATTTTCTTCCTTCTAAAGTATGTTTACGTTGCCAATTTATATAGTACTCTTAACCGTGCTGAACTCATTCATTCTTGTTCATGTAACTGGCATGCATTTGTGTTCATTCTAGATTGTTATCTTGAGGCACTTCGATCATGTAGTTGTCCTTGCTGAAATGTTTGATATAAATTCATTTGAGTACTGATTGTTGAATGATTTAGGCCTTACCGACTTGACCTTTTACCAGTTTAGGATGCTTAAATTTTAGCTAAAAACTGAAAGGACTAACTCTGCTTTAAGTAATGGTGGATTACGTGATGCTGAACTTTGATGGAAGGTTTTCAAGTATGGCAGGATTGGGAGAACTACTCAGTGATTGTCAGGCAAACACAAGCTTTTTCAGCATTTAAAAATGAACTTGATGTCCTGGGGGTTTTCAGTGGTTCATCCACCAAAGAAGTCCATGATTGTTTGCCACAAAATTATGTGTTTTATTGTTGGTTTTAACCCCACCCTTCTTTCCCCCAGAGAAACATCCATCAAACGTCTTTTATTGAACTTTTGACAACAACCTTATCTGAGTATCTGCTCAGAGACTCATCATATTGTTTGAGAGGAAAGGTGAAAGCAAGAAATCCTCCCTAGGACCCCTGGCGCTCCTTAAGTCGCTTTTCGAGGCCCTAGTTATGGTATGAGACATGCCGTTTTAATGGGAATCTTTATATGTTGAATTCATTATTTGCAGTCCTAGTCTTCATAAAAAATGTACCAAGGCATAAATTTTGTGGGTCTTTTCCTGGTCGATCTTTGTAAACAATAGTTCATGCACCTGGCAAGGATATTGAATTTGAATCTTGCAACTCATTGACCAAAATGAGTCTAGATTTAATTTAGTGGACTCTTATCAACTCCTTGGGATTGGTGATCTAGTATGAAATAATTACTGTAGTGCTCTTAGCAACAAATCAAGCTACAGTTTTTGTCACTAGCCTGGCACCAGCTTATTGGCATGTGGTTACTAGCGCTCAAGAGTTTCCACAACCTTCATTTGGGTATGAATTAGCATTGATCACAATCACCATTATTTAGTATGTTAATGTACCTTTATTCTGTACTAGAAATCTCGCTCTCTTCTTCCCCCCTGTGGGGTCTCTCTTTTTCCCTCGCTCGCATGCATATATGAACTTCTTTACGCTAGGATTCTTTACATAAAGCACTTGAAAAACCATTAGGTTTGGGACTTAACATCTATACATGTTAAAGACCTAGATTGGACCTTCATTTAGGTTGGTACCTCTTCTTTCATTAAACCCAGTTCATATGCATGGCATATGATTCGTAACTTCCTAGCAAAAGAGGGTGTGGCAAGAGACGTGCTACTTGTGAGGAGCTTCATTCTAATTCCTAGAATTTTGCTGCTCATATGTGCTAGTTAACTTGATATACTTGGCTTTGTAGTGTAATTTACTTCTAGAAAAAAACAAAATGATGTTATATGTTGTTCCAAAGTTTTTAGTGAATGACAAATAGATATCCAATTCCATAAACTCAAGCAATATTGTTTGTTGCAAATTGTACTTGGGGGTAATAAGTTTAGTTCATGTCAGTTATCTTTTGCATGACTTCTTTATTCTAAAATGTGTCATTGTGTTCGGATTTTTAGGGTTATGGTTACTAGTATGGTTTATTTGTTATCCTCCAGGTGTTTATTGATCAAATAGATGTCCAATTCCATAAACTCAAGCATTATTGTTTGTTGCAAATTGTATTTGAGAGTAATAAGTTTAGTTCATGTCAGTTATCGTTTGCTTGGCTTCTTTGTTCTAAAATGCATCATTGTGTTTGAATTTTTAGGGTTATGTTTACTAGTATGGTTTATTTGTTATCCTCCAGGTGTTTATTGATCAAAGGTTAAAGAATTCCTATCATCCAATGGCTCCTAAAGGTAACCCTTTTTAGATTGATTATTTCTTGTCAATATGTATTTGCTATTAGACTGGTAGAAACAGCAACAGAGGTAAATGCACTTATTCTCTGGCGAGTGGAGGGGTCATTGCTGTTTTGAGAAGACGTCGTTTAATGTTGTCTAGCATTTTAGTTATTAGCAGTTGGAACTTTGTTAAGCTCTTACTTGGAGGAAAACTTAGTTGTCGGAAGTAAACTCATTTTTTTTAATTAGTAAGTTCCAGTTTCATAAAGTTGTGAACTTGTATGAAAAGCGTTATTGTCCTGTGTTTCCCTAGCCTGTCCCATTTTCTGTGTTGGTTCTGTGTTTACCACATCTCTTGTGTTTCCATCTGGTTTTCCATGTTTTTCTTTCTAGTTTTCTTCCCATTCCCCATTTCCCAAGCATTTTAAAGGTGAAGACTTAGGTTTGCTGACTTCAACTCGCTGGCCGTTTTTTGAGAGCAATGACTTGGAGTAGTTTGGATTGTATACATATTGGTGGGTTGGTGGATGCTGGACCCCTATTAGCGGTGAAAGATGAGTGATGTCACTGACTTCACTCCCTCTTGCTACATTATATATATATGTGTGAGTGCGTGCGCGCATGTGTAGATCTTGCTGTCCATCTTTACTTTCAAGTTTATCTCGATACCCATGAAAGAAAATCTAAAACCGCTTGTTCATGCAGCCGCTGCCACAAAGAAGGCTGACCCCAAGGCCCAGGCTTTGAAAGCTGCTAAGGCAGTGAAGTCTGGTGCATCAACTCTTAAGAAGAAAACCAAGAAGATCCGCACGTCAGTTACTTTTCACCGCCCCAAGACATTGAAGAAAGAGAGGAACCCCAAGTATCCTCGCATTAGTGCACCCCCAAGGAACAAACTTGATCACTACCAGATTCTGAAGTTCCCACTCACAACAGAGTCAGCAATGAAGAAGATTGAGGATAATAACACATTGGTCTTTATTGTTGACATTCGTGCTGACAAGAAGAAGATCAAGGCGGCAGTCAAGAAGATGTATGATATTCAGGCCAAGAAAGTGAACACCTTGATCAGGTTAGAATTTTCTTCCTGATTTTTCTTTTTAATTCTTATGCATCATGTTTGAATTTCTTGGACCTTAAACTGTCTTTTCTGAGGATGGGACGTGGAACTGCCACTTGCTGATTAAATCATCGAAAACCTAACTTGTTGATTTATCAAAGTAGTTAACTTTTACAAAGTCTTTCTAGATATTGTTGTAATTAATGGCCTTTACATGTTCTTTTCTCTGGATTTTTATAATCTCACTAATGTTTGTTACTGAACCAAAAGTTTAACTAGGGTGTAGATTTGACTCTTCCTTTGTTTTTCTCTCCAAAGGTCTCGTAAAGTGTGCTTTAAAGCACCATCTATCTCATTGTCCATGAGAAAAGAAAAAGAAATATTTGATCACCTAAATCTCTCTCTCTCTCTCTCTCCCCCCACACTCTGTGTTCGTGTGCATGCATGGATGTACATGCGTACGCTTGCACACGAACAGATTCCCCCCACACACAACACAAGTGCACATGTATAACACACAAGCATGCATTAAAAATAACTGTTGCATATCTTGTAAACATCATTGTTATTTTGTCATGTGTAAATTCAAGGTTATCTGATCATTCAGTGCTAAACTTTTTCAAATTTCACCACCTCAACCAGATTCTGATCATTGAGTACTAGACATTTTCAACTCTCATCCCCTCAACCAGATTAGTATGAGCCTTTGTTGTCCTTTTTGCGGAAACACCATATCTTTACTTTCAAGTGCCACTGCCAAATGGCATGGATCACTATTGTTCTGAATGGAGGTTCCCAGTGATAATTGTTAATTTACTTTTGAATTGTATGGAATTTGCTATTAACATATTGCTTGAATTCTGTAGTATTCTGGCATATTACTGTGAGGTTGGTAAATTAATGTGTTATATACGAAACAACAAACTAAAAATATACATAAATAAAAAATAAAATGAAATTGACAATGAACTCTGGATGTTCCTGAAAAAAAATATGCCGAAGGATTGAGAACACAAGACTGACCAGTTTTTGAATAATTAGATCTACGTGTACAAGAACTAAAAATCTTTTCTTTTTAATGCTCATGTTGTGATTCTAAAGTGGATCCGAAAATTTTGCATCGAGAAAATCCTAAGCTGATCTTTTACTTGAGGTGCAAATGTACAATTTGCTCTTTGGGAGAGAATGTTGATTTGGTGAATACATTCTGATAGTCTTTTGCTTCTATTTTGTTATGAATTCAGGCCTGATGGAAAGAAAAAGGCTTATGTGAGGTTGACGCCTGATCATGACGCATTGGATGTGGCTAACAAGATCGGCATTATCTGAGGCTCCATTTTTCTCTTTTTGCTTCTTTTCTCGGATATCATTTATCATGTCACCTTGTATTTGAGTTTCTTTTGTAGGGCCTGTTTATTTGTGACGGTTTAGTTGTGTTAGATACAGCAGTAGTACTTCTTTTTATGGGATTTTAGGCATGAGTAATCTCGATTGGGCTTTCTCTTAGTTGATTGAGGCCCATGGTACCTTCATTGTTGGCGGATTCTATATGAATCTTGAATTTGAGAAGTGACCTTCATATTGCTGCGTATTACAAATATGATACATGTCATCTCCATTGTCTACAATGAACAGGTGATTGAGACGAGACATTCATCATTAGCATCCTTTGTTTTTTTAGCATGTGGGAAGGACTTGTGTTTGATATGCTACATCTGATGGTTTTTACAGAAAAGTAGTGCGTACTGAGTTTCGCCTGTAACACATTCTGGCCAATGTTAGATGTTTCAACCCTCCAGGTGTTAATGGACCTAAAAAATAGACATGCCTCGACAAGTCAGTACAAGAAAATTTTTAGAATTAAAAAACACTTTCTGCAATAGAAGTTAATCATCGGTTTTTCTGCGGTCTATTATTGTATTGGCATACTCAATATCAGATAAAATACTACATGCACTAATAATACAAAAGCACTCTATTCCTGAAAGAGGAAACTTTGTGATAGATTAATAGTATTTTTTCGGTTTTTTTGTTTGGGTAATAACTGGAAAAAGGTTTTGATGGTGATGGTGATGATGAAGTAAATTGTTGCTTTTCATTTTTGTGTAGTTCTTTGATAATTTACAGATATTAGTTGTCCAAGACAATTCGTTTTTTTCTTCTTATTCTGTATAAGTAAATTGTTGCTTTTCATTTTTGTGTAGTTCTTTGATAATTTACAGATATTAGTTGTCCAAGACAATTCGTTTTTTTCTTGTTATTCTGTATAATAAGCATGTTTATAGTTAATCATGGAAATTAAATGGCATAAGAATAGGACTTCACTCTCTAGGTCAAAAGGTCCAAGTGCCATTTTTGGTTTCCTTGAACATGACATCCCCGTGTGTGAAACATTGGTGATCCTATTAGGGACTTCAAGGCCTGGTCATTTTTTTTTTTTTTTGGAAGAGTAGGGTAGCTCTTTGTCATTTAATCTGACATATTTGGACGGAGTGTCTTACATGTGTTTATATGCGACACCAAGTCAATGGCAAGGTGTCTAGGTGGCATTGATTCTAGCTAAGGTTGAGAACTAAATTATCACGAACAAGCTCTTCATAACTGCTTTCTGGTTGAATTTCTTGGGAAAATGAACACGTGTATTGTCTTTCGAACAAACAGATTTGATGCAATGGACGAAATTTGTTTTTATTGCACCGAGTGGGAGGAGACATCATGCTGGTAGTGAGAGAGATGGCTGAAACCATACAAAACAACAGTGTCCTGGCAAGAGTCCTTAATCTGGAAGGTCTTATTTCTGTTGGGTATGAACCTTTCCAGTGTTGGGACATGGTTGATAGAGCAGAATGATTGACTAGAATTATGGATTAATCTAATTACCCCCAAAACATAAAGTATGGATTGGAAACTCGTGTTTGCCTATGCCTTTAACAGTTTATTTCGATACCAGATCCACGATATGATGAATACAGGAGTTCTGATTTCAGCGCGGATGTCTCCCTTCTTTCAGCAGATTGGCTTATGGGCCTCCCCCTCCCCCTCCCCAAACGCCACGAGTGGTGATGTAAACCGCTGTTTCCCTCTCTAAAAATGGCAGGGATGCTGCAAAGCTCTCTAAATGAATGGCGCATGGTGTAAACCTCCTTTTTCTCTGTGAAGATGTTTTGGAGAGAGAAAAGCCTGGTTGTAAGTCTACAGAGAGAAACAGGATGTACGAGAAAGAGGGAGGCGTATGCAACTGTTTTTACGGGATATACGAGCGATTAATGGCTCATTCTCTCTTCAACTCTATCATTGAAAGAGCTATCTGGTATTTTAACATTCAGACAGCTTTTTTATTTTGAAAAAAATAGCGTTCTTTTTGTTCCGTATTTGCATTGCCCCACATTACATGATACTAATTGAAGAATCCTTAGCTAATGGGTATTGAAGCTCAACATGCATATTCTTTTCAAGTGTCAAGGCATGGTACCAAAAAAAGAAATGAAAGAAAAAGAAAAATAAAGGACGGCGGGGCAAAGTAATTGCATATGAGAAATTGCATGATACACGTGTGGTATAGGTTATATAGATCACTCATCCATCATCTTTTG